ACTGCTGCCTCACAGTGCCAGGGACCTGGGTTCAATGCTACCCTTGGGCAACTGTCTGTGCGGAATTTGCACATTCTCCCTGTGTCTGCATGCGTTTCCTCTGGGTGCTCCAATTTCCTCCCACAGTCCAAAGATGAGCAGGTTAAGTGGATTGACTATGCTAAATTGCCCACAGGGCCTAGGGATATGCGGGCTAGGTGGATTATGCAGGGTCATGGGGATAAGATAGAGGGAGTGGGTCTGGGTGGGATGCTCTTCAGAGAGTCAGTGTGGACTTGATAGGCTAAATGGTGTGCTTCTGCACTGGAGGGATTCTAGGAACCAATTTTACAGCTAATTTCCATCTCTCACCTACACCTGGTTCAACTCTGACTCTTCCCTTCGTCGACTTCTCTATTTCCATTTCTGGGGATAGGCTGTCCACTAAAATCCACTGTAAATCCACTAAACCCAGTTACATTGGCTATACTTCCTCACTCCCTGTTTCTTGTAAGGAGTCTATTTCATTCTCCCAGTTTCTACATCTCCATTGCACCTATTCCAATGGTGCTGCATTCCATTAGGATGCTTTTGCCATGACTCTCGCCTCAGCTAAGGACTGTCCCCCACTATGGTTAACATGATTCTCAGTGGTATCTGACCCATCTCCCCCACTTTTACCACTCACCACTTCTCTTCCTCCAAATTCTCTTCCTCCAAAAACAATGATAGACATCTCTTTGTTCTTGTTTTTCATCCTGTCTTCAAAGGATGATGGTGAACCATTTCTGCCACCTCTAACTGTACACCACTAAGTAAATCTTCCAAACACCTTCCCCTCCCTTCCTTGTCAGCAGTCGGCAGGGACTGTTCCTACATGAGGTTCACACTCACGGTGGCTCAGTGGTTAGCACTGCTGCCTCACAGTGCTAGGGACCCGGGTTCAATTCCACCCTCGGGCAACTGTCTGTGCGGAGTTTGCACGTTCTCCCTGTGTTTGCGTGGGTTTCCTCTGGGTACTCCGGTTTCTTCCCACAGTCCAAAGATGTGCAGGTTGGGTGGATTGGCCATGCTAAATTGCCCGTAGTGTTCAGGGATGTGTAGATTAGGTGGGTTATAGGGGGATTGGTCTGGGTGGGATGCTCCAAGGGTCGGTGTGGACTTGTTGGGCCGAAGGGCCTGTTTCCACACTGTAGGGATTCTATGATCTCTTTAACCATTCATAGTAACTGCTCATGCAATTACATTTGGACCTTTATCTTCTCATTCTGCTCCCTCCTCACTATCCAAGGCCCCAAACTCAACTTCCAGATGAAACAGAACTTCTTTCAATCCAATCTATTGGATTTACTGCTCACAATGCAGTTTTCTCTACTTGGCGAGACTAAATACAGAGACCGGGTGATTGTTTTGTGGAACACCTCTGCTTTAGCCATAAGAATGTTGCTGACCTTCTGGTTGCTTGCCATTTCAATACATCATTTTGTTCTAATTCTGACATCTTTGTCCTAAACCTGTTCCAGTGAAGCCCAATGCAAGCTAGAGGAACAGAACCTCATTTTCCACCTGGGGACTTCACAGCCTTTAGGATTCACCATTGATTCTACAACTTCAGAACACGAACTCTGCCCTTCATTTTCATTCCCTCCACACCCCATGCCTTGTTTATATGGACTTGCTTTCAGTAAAGCTGATCATTGACTTCAGGGAGTAAGGACGAGGGCACACCCTTGTCTACATCAAAAGGAGTTGAGGTGGAGATGGTTGAGAGAATCAAGTTCCTCGGAGTGATGATTACAACAATCTGTCCTGGACTACCCCTGTTGATGCGACAGTCAAGAAGGCACACCAAAGCCTCTTCTTCCTCAGGAGGCCAAGAAAGTTCGGCAGGTCCCTAAGAATCCTCACCAACTTTTACAGATGCACCATAGAAAGCATCCTATCTGGATGCATCACGGCTTTGACCTGGGCCATAAGAAACTGCAGAAAGTTGTGAACACCGCCCAGACCATTACACAAGCTAATGTTTTCTCTATTGACTCCATCCACACTTCCTGCTGCCTTGGAAAGGCAGCCAACATCAACAAAGACCCCTCTCACCCCGGTTATAATCTCTTCAAACCTCTCCTATCAGGCAGTAGATACAAAAGCTTAAACACATGTACCAACATGTTCAAGAACAGTTTCTTCCCCATTGTTATTAGACTTCTCAAATTCCAAATCTAATGATCTTGCCTTTTGTGCACTTTCTTTGCAGCCATAACTTTGTATTCTTCACTCGGTTCAATCACCCTATGATCTTTGTATGTTACGATCTGCATGTAATGCATGCTAAACAAAAAACTTTTCATTGTACTTAGGTACATGTGATAACAATAAATCAAATCAAACATCTCTACTATTAATACCTAGTCTTCATCTATATAATCTACTACCATTAGCACTCCATTTGCCTTCTCCTCTAGGCACCTTTACCATTTGTTCCATTTACTCCTCCTCTGTTTCTCTACAGCGTAAAACCCATATTTCCAGCCTCCCTTTCATGCCCAAAAAGGACTCTGACATGACTCAAACATTAACTCTAATTGTCCACAGCTCCTGCCAGACTTGACTTTCTCTAACACTTTCTATTTTCAGATCTCCAGCATCCATAGTACTTTGCTTTTATCATTGAAGTTTTCTAAGTTCTTGTGGTTTCCCCATGTACAACATGCAATAAATCGCTGACACTATCACATACAATTGCAGTATGTCTTCAGTATTCAGGACATAGTGTGTAATCTGCGTACTTCGGAGTCTTGAGCACCATGCAAAGGATGGGTATACTCCTCAAATACAATATTGCTTCTGTAGAAATAAGAAGGAAGCCAGCTAATTGTTTTACTTCAGATTTCTTAGGGAGTGACATTTGGACAGCCTTCATAAATTTTTCACAGGACTGCACGCTGAAATGGACACACCAGTTTTGCTGGCAGAGCATTAACACAAAAGTTACAAGATACAAGCAATAAGCTCAAGTTGATTCAGGTCAGCCACCACTCACCTCAAATCTCGCAGCCCCTGGCTTGTAAAGAGCTGATCCACCACAGTGCATCTGCTTCAGTGGCTGCTTAGAACTTACAGTGCCTGGTCAACAGTGATGGAATTTCACACATCAAGCAAACAGAAGAAAAAAGAAAAAAAATCTCAACTGTTACTTCAACACACAGAATGTAAACATTGCCGAAATGAGGCATGTTGTTGAAACGTTTCCTCTCGCACTCATCAGAACTGCAAGAATATCTAATTTCAAACAATAAGGACAATTTATGCCAAAAGCAAAAAGGGTGTTGATTGGCAAGTCAATTCTGATCGCTTTCTCCATAGCAATGCCGGAGCCAACAGCAAAATACAGGCTCTTCAATCTCCTGCATAATTTGAAAAAGGTACAAGGCTTGAACATTTTCGTTTTCGCAGAGAACAGGTCCCTGTGTGTGAATGTCTATCAAACCAAGCAAGAATAAACGAGCTACATTATGAGCTCAACTAATTGTCTTAAATTGGTTGTTAGCATAGCTACCAATGTATACAAGATCGTTCTACAAGTGCTGCATAATCGCGGAATCACATGGAGTAGCAGATGCTTTTCTTTGGATGTTGCAAGTGCAATCTGTATTCTGCTGAAAATGCAGTTTGATTTGATCAGCCAATCTTTAGAACACATGGCCCACATATATGTTGTCACAGTGTTCGTACTGAAAGGTAGCTCATCCCAGTGTAAAATATCACTGGATCTTCAGGTCATTTAGTTGCATTGATGGATCATGTCTTACCACAACAGTGCCAGTGCAACACCAGTGAGATTCTTTGCAATTGCTCGGGAAGAGAACCAGCAATCCCTCCTGCAACACCGTACTTCCCATCTGTGGCATATCAAGACCAGAAAAGTGAGACACGTTTGGAGTGGCAGATAATTGAAAGGAATTTTATTTGTGGATTAACTGAAAAGTCAATATTATTGAATAAAAGTTCAATATAATTAAGACTTTTAAAAAAAATCATTCGCAGGGATGTGAGGCCAGGCCGGAATTTATTGTCCATCCTTAAATTAGCCAGAGAGCAGTTAAGTGTCAAGCACATTTTGCTATGGATTTGGAGTCACATGTAGACCAGACCAGGTAAGTAAGGACAAATTTTCTCCCAAAAGGACACTAGTGAACCAGATGGGTTTCATGACAAGCAACAGTGGTTACATGATTTCCATTAGAATGGCATTTTTAAAAATGGAATTCAAATTCCACCATCCTTCAAGGTGGTATTTGAACCCTTGTCCCCAGAACAGTAGCCTAATGCTCTGATTGAAGATTCATTCACCAGTGTGGATATAGTCCATTGATTTCCAACCCACATCTGGGTAGTGCAATGAATGTAGCAGAAAATCTTAAGGCAAAACACTAAGCATTGAGCAGTTCAAGACTTGAGTAAGATGGCTAAGAGGTAGCCTTTGAGGAGGCTTTTGAAGGTGGGAAGAGAAATAGCAACTTTAAGAACGTTCCAGGATTGTGTTAAGGTATTTAAAGCTAACAGAAGAGTTTGATTAGGTAGATATGGGGAAGTTCCTTCCTCCTGTATGGTAGGCCATACAGGAATCAATAAGCACTTTTTCCACTCAAAAAGGTAGTAGCAATATGGATCTTTTGCTCCAAAAGGCAGTAGATACTGGGACAATTGGAACTTTTGATGCTAAGATCAACTGATATTTGAAATAACAGAAATATTCAGTGGGCCAGGCAGTATCTAATGTTTCAAGACAATTACTTTCATCAATCGCTATTGGGTGCAAAGACCAAAGATGTGGGAGGAAAGGTGGTAAAATGGAGTTGGAGGTACAGACCAGCAATGACGTGAACGATTGGTGGATCAGGCAGAGAGGCTGAATGAAGTTCTATCGATAAACTCTGCTGAATTTGGCAACCGGCTAAAAAAAATCCATACAACATATCGTTATCCCAAATAAAATTCATGCAAACACATGGCATTGCTTCATTCTGTCATTTTATTTGTTTCAAAATAATTTTTCATACAAATAATGTAAATGATATTTATAAAACACATTGATATCATGTAAGCACCTGATATTCCCAGTCAACCAAAGCTTTGATAAGAACTTTAATCTGGCCACACATTTTCTTGGATTGGTTCTAATGTTGTAGCTTTACCCTTCTTTGGTATTTTTTGCTTTCCGTCCCCTTTTCTTAGCTGTGGAAGGAACATTCGCACAGCACGCACAAATCCAACGACCTGAAACAATTCAAAAAGAGTCTTATGTTGCATAATGAAACCATCATATACGGAGGCAAAAACATGCAACAGGTTCAGTGAAGCGGGATCCAAACGGGTCCAGGTCTTAGCAGGCAACATTCTATCCTAACTATTCTGATCCTGCTATAAATAACTCATTTGATTTTGTTGAGCCATCTAAGAGATAGATACTAAGAGATAGAGGTGACCAATTAATTCTTAGTTGCACACTATTCTGATTGTTCATCTACAAATATGATTTTAGATCTGGGTTTCCCATTTACTGTTGAATGTTTACTGTCTTGGGTTGTGCACAGTTTCCTCCAATACACTTCAAATACACGAGTGTCATATTGCCACTTGATCTTCATATTGCAATTAGAATTAATAAAACACTTCTAACATAAGAAAATGTCTGTTCAGTAACTGATAACTGAGTTTATACATTCTAAATTCTCACTGACTAATTCACCTACATTCAGCTTATACAAAGCCTTGGTTAGATTGCAGTAAGAATACTGCGATCAGATTTGGACAGCATATGTTACAGAAGCTATATTGGCCTTATGGGATGTGCGACATAAGCATATCAAAATGATACCTAAATTTCAAGTATTAAAATGTAAGCATATTCAACAAGTAGACTCGCAGCCCCTAGAATTTAAGAGGTAATAGGTGATATGATCAATGTTTTTAATATATTGAAGGGAACACATAAGGTAAAGAGGAAGTTATTTCTGCTGATTGGCTGGTCTAGGACTATGAGTTCTGATGAAAGGCCATGAACATAAAAAGCAAACAATTTCTCTCTCCAAAGAAGCCACTAGAACTGCTGAGTGGTTCAGAGAATTCCTATTTTTATTGTAGGTCTGCAAATTAGACTAAAAATTAGAAGCAGATCTTTTACGAATGAAGTTAGAAAACAGTTCTATTTACAACAGGTTTGAAGAAGTTTAGAACACTCTTCTGCAAATGGAAATTGATGTTAAGCCAATTGTAAATTTTGAATCAGAGATTGATATGTTTTTGTTAGCCAGAAGGTGTTAAGGAATATGGAGCAAAGGGAGTTAGGTCCCAAATCAGCTATGGGCTCACTGAACGGCAGTAGAACTAGCTTGAAAGGTTAATGGTCCACTCCTGTTTCTCAATAAAATTCTCTCAAAGACACAAAAGAGAACAAGACTACAGATAATCTTGTACTGTGTATTTCACACTGTTGCTCTTGTAACAGTTATCCTATAAGTTATTATGAACAATATACTGGAGATCCAGGAATGTAAAATAATTTTTTTTATATAAAAGTTCAGTAATAATTGAACAATTATTATTCTGAACTCTTTAGGTTAATAATCTCATCTACCAGACTGAAGGAACATTTACACATTTTCTATAGCTGACAATTAAAATTTCAACAGGCATCGCACAATGCTTCAAAATGCATGTGCACATTACCTGAGGGGATGGAAGCAACTCCGACACAGAAGGTGTGATACCCTCGGTCGCACTGATCACAGAACATCATCTCTTCCTCGTGATGTGGCTGGCCGCACACTATGCACGTCTTGCATTCCATACACTGCCATGGATAGGTTTTTATTACAGCCACCAACTCCGACAACATATCCAAGCAGGACGGATGACCTGTGGAAAGCATTAGCAAGTTATCTACTCAAAAGTATGCACTTTTTATGAATCAGTCACCGACTTGCTTCAAATAAGAATTGCCAACTACGATGAACCAGCAGAACAATATCAATTGCTTGCGTGTTGGTTGCAAGTACTTGAAATAAAAGCTGCATCTCTCCGCTAGTGTTTTAAAAAAACAAAAAAGAATTTAAGTCACAGAACCAGGAATTCAATTCAACAGGTCTATGCTGTGATAAAGACAGAAAATGCTGCAAATATTCAGCATATCAGGCATTCCTGATGAAAAAAAGGATGTTTCATCAAAATTTCATCATAAAATTATATGACTAATTTCTGCAATAGATCATCAACCCAAAACATTAACTTTGTTTCTCCATCCAACTTGTTGAGCATTTCCAGCATATTCAGCTTTAATTTCAGATTTCCTTCACATGCCTTTGCAATAGGACTATGGTAGTGTTTCTGAATCTTCTCCCACCCAATTTCAGTTCATCCCATCAACAAATACAGTTATTCTCTTCTCTCCACCAACCAACCCATCCACAAAAGGTACTTGCTTAGTTTTATCTTAATGCACATATCACATTTTCCTCATTCATTTCATATGTAGCAAGTTCCATGTTTTAATCAAAGTAAATTCTTGATTCCATAATTAGTGACTTTGTTTTTATTTTAGGGCCCCCTAATTTTGAACTCATAACAAGTGGATAAACTGAGTCCACATCTCCCTTATGAAGTGTTTCCATAATATCCAAAATCCTTAAAACACTCCTGAAATGAGCCCTCAAAGCATTTAGACTTTCTTGATAGTTAGGTCCTCTCAGTTCAAATTCAGTTCATCAGTCCAAATTCTTTTAGCATTTTTCCAGAGCACTGACATTCTTTTAGAAGTGTGGTCTAACCAATTTAGCATAACATTGAAGTTTAATGTTAATAACATTTTTATAACATACAATTTTTTAATAACATATAGAACAATTAACCTTAACAAACTGAAGTATTACACTGACACAATTGAGCCAATTTTTAAAAAAAGGCAAGATGTTTGCATTGCGTAACAATACACCATTAGTGATTTGAAATGCCTGTTTTCTGTTCTGTCTTGCCAACTTAGCGCAACCAGTTCACGGTCACTTTCAGTACAATACAAACTATATTACATATAATGTGCAAGATTGAATAGTTTTCATCAGTTAGATTGGGAAACTTACCACTATTGTCACACTGGGAGCAGTGTATGAGTGCCTCAGGTTTGTTTTTCTTGTTGGATTCTCTACCCTTTAGACAAATTCCACATATTGCATTTGGAATGATCTTAGGCTGGAAGGGCAATAGTTAGAACAGCACTGTAAAAATCATGTCAGTGGAACTAGAATACAGAGTAAGGGCTCGGCAGGAGCAAAGAGAATCCTGGTTTTAAAAGATTTTCTTGCATGTGGGTGCAAAAATACAAACCAGCTATTTAGTTTAAAACCAGTGGATCAACCTTAAATGTTATTACAATTACACTACGCAGAAGGCACAGACTGATAAAGCTCTTAAAACACATATGGGGCTTTACTTTAGAGCATGCATACAAAAAGCATTAAACAGACAATCATGACCAAAGATTGAGTAAAGCGTATATAGAACAAGCTTTGAAAGCAGGCTGCTACTAAATTTAAAAATTGGGAGAGACATCCTTAAAATAAAATGTATGCAAATATAAAATTAGTACTGAAAATTCAGAAACTAAATTAGAAATTAAAACTTAAGTGATATATTTGGAAGCATTTATTCCAAAACTCTCATTTTCTAAAGGCCTTTAGTAAGTACATATGCATGCAAACACGCATGTACACAGAAAAAAAAAATGCATCCAGCACATTTCCATCACGTTTCCAAATATCAGATGTATTACAAAACTAAAGGGAAACAAACAGGCATTTTCCACTGGAAACGAGAAATTTGCAAGGATCTGCTGATTGTCAAACTTCCCTTAGCAACAGCAACTGACTTCTAGATGTGCCTATATACAGAAAATTGATCTTGCGGCCTTAAAGTAGCGAGGGAGGGGAATAGGCCAGAAAATTATGCATTAAGTGGCGTAATGGTCTCATTATAAAACAGTATGGCAACTAACCTATCATGAGCATCTTCAGTAGAAGAGCATCTAGTATTTAAATAATTTTATAAATATCAGCAGGTTTCTTCCCCTTCCTTCTAATGAAATAGATTAAGCTATGTTAAAGATATTCCTACAAAAGAATATCAGTAACAGTGCCATAGTAATTTATTTTAAAAATAAATGCTCCTTCATAGATTCTAATGTTCAAAATTGAAAGTTGTGAAGTCTGTTTTGAGATTATCAACTTAGTTATACAAAATATCCCCAATCAAATATTTCACAATAAATGAATGCATCTGATAACAAATTCATGTACCAGTACCCAGAGATGCTGCTGTCAACTCAGCATTTAATACACAACTGCTCACAAGAATTGTTCTGGCTGTAGAGGATTCTGCAGAGCCACACTGGAATGCTACTCACTTTCTAAAAGATGACAGAGGCACTCTTAAAATCGGCTTAATGTTTTATTAAAAAGTTGTTCAGATGTGAAAAGTTTACATCAAAAATTTGGTAACAAGTATTTAAGTACTTTTTAAACTGAGGCTGCAGAACTGAAAGACAGCGCCTCTTAAATAATCATACTATAAAAAAAAGTTCTACAGTTTGGAATCTATTGAAACAATGAAACATCTTACTATTTTTACAGTTCTAAAATTATTCTACAATTATTTAAAACAGAAAACTAAAGTAAAACTGTTGCTTGAACATCAAAACATTGTAAAATTCACTGTACTAATACCTAGAGTGCCAGCCCTCAGCAAAATCAGAAACACAGTTCAGGTTCAGATTGTTTACAACTTTCTTTCATTTTACTGTTTCTCCACAAGTTCTGCTCCTCTCGGAGAAACTATGCACCCAACCACTCAATAAATTACGATCATTCTACAACCATTAGCACAGCCACAAATAGCTACTTATGTAGAAAAAGTGCTTATATGCAAAGGATGCAAGATATTAAGATAAACTGTATCTATGTTGGTTATTTAGCATGTTAAAAAAGTGCAGTTTGATGGATGATCATGAATTATACTTAACCCTTATTTCATGTCTATATCACAATAAAAGCTAAAGTCACATTCTTGCCTCATCAGCAGCTTAAGAATGTTGCAGTTACACTGACCAAGAACTAAATACTAACGTTGTACATGTAAAATGCACATTGTATTACATTTGCCAATACTGAAGAATTAAGACCATTAGAATTTGTTTGCCCTCTGCTCAGGACTTGCACACTTACTGTTCAAGGTTTGTTCACCAGTAGTTACTGTGGTCCAGATAATCTGAACTGCAAGTCCAACTCTCTAACCAGCTGAGATCCAAACCATTGCTGCTGCCTTCCCATGGTGCTTTTGTTTCCACCCTACTCCACACTCCAATCAACTAGTTCTTCACACTCACACCAACTTCCCAAGTTGTTACTTTGCCGGTCAACTCCAAAAGAAATACCAAGGTAATCCCCAATATGTTAATAGTTACAAACCCATATTTTAAAGTGAATATATAAATGCAAAGTGGAGAAAGTATTATACAGCACAGAAGGAGGACACTTTACCTATCATGCCAATGCTAACCCTTTGAAAACAGCTATCTCTAATTAGTCCCCTGTTCTTTTTGATGAGCCAGGTGAACTCAATCTGAGGACTAAATTCCTTACTCACTGTTATTGAATAGATAGCTTTTAAAAAAGTCAAACACATTTTAAAAAAAAAATCCTCTTCTCAACAAATGGATATTCTAACATCACGTCTCACAAGGCCTGGGATTGACTATTTCACTACTAATTAAAATTATTTTTGAAACAAAAATAGATCTTCAAATATAATGAAACTAACTATTGTTTCCTCCAGTATGAAATAATCCGCATTTACATTTCAGTCTTCATATCCCTGGAATACCTTAAAATACTTCATATCTACTGAATTACATTGAAATACATTCACATTTATTTTGGCAAATGAGACAGCCACTTTGCATACAGCAAGATCAATGAACAGTAATAAGATAAATGCTGTGCCCATCTAATGATAGTTGTGGAATGATACCATGGTATCTTTGATATCTGCCTGACACAGACAGATAGAGCCACAACTTAATGTCTCATCTGAAGGGCTGCACCTTTGAAAGTACAGCAGTCCCTCAGTACTTCACTGAAACACAAGTCCAGATTATGTGCTCAAGGCTTTATTTGGGACCATGATGTTCTGACACCAACAAAAGCACACCAGGCCATACTGCTTCTACTGGGAGAAAGAAGTTTCACCCTGCAAGGCAAACATCCAATCTTCTCTTAAATTCCATTTTAACCATTGGTGTACATACAACAAATTGCATCCGTAACACAATGTCCTAGTTGCTGGTGAAATATGCAACTATCTTTCTGGAACAGTACAGAGATGGGTTTTTGGAAATGAAATGTTCTGCTTTGTTTCTAGCTCAATAGCACAATCATATCATGCTTAACCACCTTTTAGAGTATGAAAATGGAAAGCTCCTCAACAACTTTCTACACCAAATTGAAGTGACCAGAAGAAAACAATTATTTCAATCATGTTTCATAGGAACCAGCAAAATTGGTTAAGAGACAACTGCAATCACTTTAAATTGTCCTTTACAATGACTTAATGCTATCATCATATTCATCAGTCCTTAGACAAAGGAGGATAAATAGAATTAAAGTATAGTCTAATCTTTTCTTACAAATGTTTTTGCTGCAACAAATCATTTCTCTACCTAGAAAACTGAAGATCAGATCTTTTGAACACCTCCCAAACTAAATAAAGTGTTCTATTTTCCAAGTTCAAATGCAGCACCTATAGGAAACCAGAAAGCCAGGTTCAGAAGTAATTTCAGCCAATATTAGAGATAGTAAGGACTGCGGATGCTGGAAGTCAGAGTGGATAAAACGTGGAGCTGGAGAAGCCCCGTAGGTCAGACAGCATCAGAGGGGCAGGAAAAATCGATGTTACAGGTCTGGACCCTTCATCAGGACTGGGCCGGTCCTGATGAAGGGTCCAGACCTATAATATTGACTTTCCTGCTCCTCCGATGCTGTCTGACTTGCTGTGCTTCTTCAGCTCCACATTTTATCAACTCAGCCAATATCAGACTCTGGTTTAAGAAGGACAAAACATTCACATTACACTGAGAAAGATGTCAATACCATACTAGTTGTCTTGAGTTGTTTTGTATTGTGAAGTACCAGTGATAAAAATAAACTAACACTGGTGTGAAATTGCTGCTGTAACCGGTTCACATTACTAACACCGAACTGCACCATTTCAATGTAGTTATCCAAGTCGGCTAGATCGCATTCCAAGGCAATTTGCTAATTGAAAGTAGTTCCTCTGAACAGAGGTGAAGCAAAGCAATTTTCTACATAGGGCTGAGAAAAAGCATTGAAGCATCATGTTTAGTTCAAAAGTCTAACAATGAGCACATCTGTCACTAAGCTAACTGCTCATTTGGATTCAAGCCAACAAATAGAATCATAAATCTTTCAGCATGTCATGGAGAAAGCTCTTTTACTGAGCTTTACTCCTACTATCTACCTCCAAGCACCTCAGTACAGGAAAGGATTTTTTTTTTACAAAAACAAAGATAGATGATACAGAACAAATAAATAAAAGCATCAAAGATAGTAGGAACTGCAGATGCTGGAGAATCTGAGATAACAAGGTGTAGAGCTGGATGAACACAGC